TGTGTGTGTGTGAGTGTGTGCGTGTGTGTGTGTGTGTATAAATATTATAATTCATTCCTTTCTTAGAAAAACCTTTTTCTTCTTCTCTTTTTTTCTTTTTTAAAAGCGCTTTGAAATGTCTAGAGTTCATATTGTGCGTCAACGCCACAGCCAGCACAAGTTTTTCAATGTATCTTATGTAAATTTATCGGAACATGGGGTCCATTATATATTAAGTTTCATTTGCGAAGACTGCTCTATAACGTCTTTTCCACTTTTGATTTCTGAGCTATTGGCACTGAGTCCTGCATGCATTTCATAGAAAGACAGAGAATAAAATGATTTAGCCACCTACGTTACGTATGTCACCTTGCTAGACAGCCTCGAGAGCCTATAACCCCAAGCACTCAGGCTATTAAGGAAGAAGAAGACCACGTTAAAGGGGGATTGAGGGTGTCAAAAAAACCCTGAGAAATCATAAAATTATTCCAACTAAACGAGCTGTGGAGCTGGCATAGAGGCATAAAAAACTGCATTTCCCCTCGGCGTTTAACGGCAACAGAGAATGAAAAAGTAAAAGTAAAATAAGTATCATACTGAAGTTTTAAACTTAAAACTCAATTCTGCAATCAGTCCTGCAACTTAAGAAAAGTGGAGGGTTTGGGTTGGAAAGGCTGAAAGGGGGGGGGGGTCTACTTAAAAAGAACACACGTCAAAAATTTGTTACACACTCAAGGTTTCCGTGTCAGTGGTTCGCAAGGACTTCTTATTCAGAGTCTTACATTTAAAAACTATTCTTTTCCACAGGGTCTAAACTTTCAGCACTTTTCGTGGTCTCTAGGACGTTTCCTTTCAACTCAGGTCAGACTTGGTCTAGTTGCCCCTCCAGGTGAATAAATGGCTGGCAGGAGTGGCAGGCGTTAACGTGAGACCTGTGCGCTGCTTTATTTGTTTAAGCTAATTATGCAGTTGACATGTAGACAACTTTTCCGGACACGGGCGTGAAGTCTTTCGCCTTGTTCCGCGGTGTGCCCTTTGTTGATGTGTAAGAGCCTTTTGAAAAATATATTTTTTGGTCTCGCAAGCGTAGCTTTGCAAAAAAAAAAACGTTTGACGGATTCAAAAATAAAAAGAACATATCCAGAATTACTGAAATGGGGGAAAAGAAGAGTCTCTCAAAAATTCGAGAAAAATTGCCAAACTTGAGGAAAAATGCCGGGTTTTTTGTTTTCGATATCCCATATCACATATATCACAAGAAACATTTTACCATAGAAAACATTGTTAAAGTTAGTTTTCCGATCGAACAAAAGGATGAAAGATATGAAGTTAAATTGATAGCGAGTGAAACATGACATAAAACACACAAAAACTTTACAGAAAACATTTCCCTCTCCACTTCCCTAGCCCCTCCCTCCCCCTCCTTTTCTCTCTCACATACACACACTCTCACTCTCTCTCTCTCTCTCTCCCTCTTTCTCCCTCTCCCTCTC